GGGGCATCAGCAGCTCAAACAAAGCCTTGGGCTTTCTCCTCCTGAAGGCAAATACCAGCCTTGGTCCGAGGGACCTGAAGGATTGGCACCAGAGCTGAGCCAGGATTAGGCTTTGGAGAACTTTTGTAGAACTTGGGCTCGAGCTCTGTGGAAGCACACTGCACGTAATCTCTGAATTTTCTTTTTACCTGGCGCCCGCTGAGCGCCAGGCGCAGGAGCTGCATCATGCTGCTGTACTTGGTCTCTCTGGTTTGCTTCTGGAGACTTCTCAGGTCTTTGTTCAGCTCCTCCACAGTCAAGGCAGCTGCTGGCCTTGTCATTAGCCTTTGGGAAAGAAGGTGTGCTTATGCTCTGGGGACATGGAAACCACAGGGCTCCTGCCTCTCACCCCTGCCCTGAGCCAGGGTGCTCCCTCTGCTCACCAGAAGCAGAGCTCATTCAAAAGAGCAAGTTTAAACTACAAAATTATGCCACAGATGTAGAAAACCACAGTAAAAAGCAATTGTGATTGGTTAAGAATACAGTTTCCAGAGATGAGGAGCCACTGCTGCCACTACACAGCTCCGACAGCAGCACACTTACCCTAAGACTAGTTTTCCTATTTCATCTGCTTCTGCAGAAATTGTTTGTAGCTGCTGCCGGGACACCAAGGGCCTGACCCACAGGTAAGAGTAATCACTCGACACCAGACTCTTCAGGAGGCTTATGTGACCCTGGGGAAAGAAAGCAAAGCTGGCAAGGCAGAGGGCTGTGCTGTGGAGGAGGCGAAGCCTCAGCTCGGAGGATCGTGGCACAGTGCTCTGCCCCAGCTCATACTTTTCTCAGCAGAAGGACTCGCTCCACGTATTCATCTTCCAGAACATCTGGATCCACTTGCTGATCCCCATAGACGAGCTCCACCAGCCCCTGCAGCTCCCTAACCAGCTTCTGGCGCAGCCCTTGGTTCTCAATGTGACGGGTGAGGTGAATCCTGCAACAGAGAAGAGACCTGCTTCTGGATTGCTGTGGGTCACCTCAGACCACCCCAACCACGTTTCACAGAAACCACAGAATATTCTGAGGTGGAAGAGACCCACAAGGATCACCAAGTCCAGCTTTTAAGGGAATAGCCCATCTGGGGACTAAGCCCTCAACTCTGGCATTCTTAGCTCCATGCTCTGACCAACTGAGCTAAAACTCAGTGTGGAAGTGTTAGAAAAGCAGCACTAAACCACAGTCAGACACTATACAAAGAGACATTTTGCTCTGGTGCCCCACAGGGAAATGAGGATGAGGCCACTCTTAGCAGCACAAGTGTATTTGCAGAAGAACCTTCTGAAATACTAACTCTTTTTAGATGTTATTTTCTTAGGTTATAAACTTAACACTTCAGATCCTCCCAGGTACATCCACCCTGTGCCTAGACTTTCAGTGGTGCCAACACCAGTGTCCAAGCACAGAATGGGAGATGAGGCAGAAGCTGTATGAGCAGAAACTTATGCTTCCTCTTAGCAGAGCCCAACAGCTGCTGCACCAGGACCATGCTTGATCCAACAAACAAAACCTCCACCCAAACCTAAGTGCTAGAAATTAATTCTCTCTGACATGGTGCTTACTACATCTTAAAGTTACCACTGATTTTTTACCTGTTGAATTCTGGGAGTGCTTCAAGGTCCAGGAGAGCAGAATGGGTTGTAATTCTGCCTACTTCAAACTGGGAGATCAACTCCTCCAATGTCCTCCCCATCTGCTTCTCTGCAACACAAGCCCAAGGGACTCTCAGGGCTCTGTGCTGCCCTCGGGCACGGGGCCAGGCCAGCAGCTGAGCAAAGGTGGCACAGGAGAGCCTCCTGTGCAGTGCCAGCAGCAGCAGGGACATCCCCTGGCAGCAGGCACACACTGCCATGCTGCCCCTCCCCAGGAGTGCTGTGCTGGTGAGCACTGGGAACTGTCTCCATCACCTTCCTCAGCACAACACCTCTGCCTCAGTCGGCCAAAGAGAAGGCACACTCAGCCAGAAGGCTGCACTGCCCAAGCAAGATTTCCTTCCCAAGAAGAGTTCTCAGAACACAAGTTAACCTGTGATCCCCACACAGCAAAAACCACAAAAGGAAACCTTCACTCAACTCCTCGTGGTCTGTCAGGTTAAAGGAAAAGCGGTGCAGGTGTCAGACAACACTGCAATTATTCACCACAGAATGCAAGTTTCCCAAGACTTCACAGTGTCTCAGCCTTGAAGTGAGGGTTTTCCCAAGGGAGAAGCCATTAAGCACCTGATTCAAATTTAATGGCTGCACAGCAGCAGGAAGATTTGCACCATTCCAGCTCCCTCCACAGGAGCTCTGCAGAAGGCCTGGTGGCATCTCGGTGACTGACTGGTTATGTGAGACCCATTCCCTGACCCCCTCAGGCACTGACAGAGCTCTCAGCTTTTAAAACGAACCCGGCCCATGGCACGGAGTCAGCACAAGGTGACCTGGCAGGCCCGTGGTGCTACCTGTGAAGCCCGAGCCGCAGTTGGTGACAATGTCCAGCAGTGCCTCGGGCAGGAAGCCGTCCCGAGCGAAGCGCTCCAGGAAGATGTCCCCCTGCCTCTTGGACAGCTTGCCACCGTCCTTGTTCAGCAGCAGCGGGAGGTGGCCGAACCGAGGGGGCTCCCAGCCAAAGGCCTTGTAGAGAAGCAGGTGCTTGGAGGTCGAGGCCAGCCACTCGGCGCCGCGCAGGACGTGGGTGATGCCCATGTAGTGGTCGTCCACCACGTTTGCCAGGTGGTACGTGGGGAAGCCGTCCCCCTTGAGAATCACGGGGTCCCCTTCCACCTCGGCCACCTCGTGCCTGTTCCAGCCGTACACCAGGTCCTGGAAAGGCTCCACGCCCTTCTCCAGGCGGAAGCGGACGACGCAGTCCAGGCCCTGCGACAGCTTCTGGGCCACTTCTGCGGGCGTCAGGTGCCGACAGCGGTTGTCATACCTTCGGGACACGAGCACCAGGGCTTCTGCTCAGCACAGCCCAACACCACCGGCCACTTTTACAGTCCCACAGCTCCAGGCAGATGCCTGAACCTGAGCTGCACCACCCCCTGCGCGCCCGGCCGGCACCAAGGCGTGCCAGGCTCGGCGCGGGGCAGGACGTACCGCGGGGTGTGCTGGCGGCGCAGCGCGTCCCTGCGCAGCAGCTGCAGGCGCTGCGGGCTGCAGAAGCAGCGGTAGGCGGCCCCGCTGGCCAGCAGCGCCGCGCCGGCCCGCCCGTACAGCTCCAGCCGCCGCGACTGCACGTAGGGCCCGGCGGGGCCGCCCCGCCCGGGGCTCTCGTCCGGGGGAATGCCTGCAACACCGGCACGGCGGCGCTGAACCACGGGCCGCCAAAGCCGGACAAAGGCAGGCAAGCCCGCCCTCCAGCTGAGCCTTCACTAGAAAGATAAGGTGAAAGGTGTTTCTAAATACCTGCCCAGTCCAACATATCTTCTATTCCTTCTGCAGCTCCAGGCACCACCCGGCTCTGGTCTGTATCCTCCACTCTTAAAATAAAAGTGCCTTGGTGTTTTTTGGCAAAGATATAATTGTACAAAGCGGTCCTAAGGCCACCTAAATGCAGAAAACCTGTAATTGTGGGGAAATCAGAGGAGGTAGTCAGAAAAAAGACCCAGGGCAGAGTTCTAAACACGAGCTGGAAGGGCGCTGGATGCTGCGTGCGGTGGCAGCGTCACCCGGCGGGAGCTGCACCGCACCCCGGAGCGCCCCAGCTCAGGGGCACGGCC